CCCGCCTCAGCCTGTGAGTATCAACAACAACACACACCCTCAGCCTCACCCCCCTGGCCCAGCGTCGTTTTTTTCAGCGCGTGTCTTGATGAAGTCGTGTGTTCCAAAGGATTCTCAGCGCTGTCATCGCCAAAAGGCATCCACGCCGACCGGATCCCACAATGGCTCTCGCCCTCTCCGCCCTCCCGCTGTCGCTGTCGCTCAACGCGCCCCTGGCTGCGGCCCCGGCGTCGCGCGCCGCCGTCTCCATGCAGGCATACGGAGCCGTCGCGCCCACCGGTGCGCCACGACCCGCAACGCGCCGTTTCAGCGTGAATCAAGATCCTCGGCTCACCCGCCCTCTCCCGCCGCCCCTCCGCAGCGTATGGCGAGTCCGTGGCCTCGAGCCGCCGCGGCATGGCCGGCCCCGCGACGGACTCCTCCATCCTCGTCCAGGGCGGCTCGCTCCGCACCTGGTCGTACCGCTCGCCGTCGGTCGAGCAGGTGCAGGTGGTGCTCAGCACTGAGGGCCGCCCGCTGGACGCGGACATCGAGCTGTGGCAGGGGCCGGACAACACGCCGTGCAAGATGCGCGTGTACGTCGAGAACGGCCAGCTCCGCCCCTTCAGCGCCGTCGTCGAGACGCCCCGCGGCCCAAACACGATTGCCATCCGAAACATCGGCCAGATCGAGTTTCCCTTCGCCGCCAACGTCGTCGCCGAGGACGTCGACGCGCCGTCGGCCGAGTGCCTCTCGACGCGCATGACCATCCAGGGCGGCGCCCTCCGCACCTACCCCTTCGACCCCACCGTCGACAGCGTCCAGGTCCTGCTCAAGACGGACGGGCGGCCGCTCAACGCGCGGATCGAGCTGCTGCAGGGCCCGAACAACAACAAGCAGGTGATCGAGCTGTACGCGGAGGACGGCCTCGACCGGCCCTTCTTCTGCATCCTCGAGACGCCCGGCTCGGGCAACGTCGTCCGCGTCGTCAACACCGCCCCCGTCGAGTTCCCGATGACTGCCGCTGTCGTGCCAAACTCCATCAACGAGCAGATGGGCTACGAGGCGGTGCTCGGCGGCGACGTCGTGCTCGGCGGCGACATGGGCTATTGAAGCGCGCGATGTGCATGACGGGCGGGCGTAGGCGAGAGCGAGGGGAGGCATTTGCAGGGGGGGCAGTAGGGTGTTGCTTGGGGTCTCATGGCACATGGGATGTGCGCAGAGGATGTGTGGGGCGCCGGAAAGAGGAGCGTGACACGACAGTGAGGTGACTGTGTGCATCTGTTACTTGTGCACGCGCGCCGTGTTCTGCAACACGAACGCAGCGCTCTCACACAGCAAATAATTCACCTTCATCCACCAAAGTAGCAGCAGTGGCGCATCCCGCGGGCTACACGGCTCTACGGCAGCGGCCAGCGCGTGCGCCGCTCGCCCCACACCCCACACCTGAGCGGGGATATGCGGAGAGATGGGGAGAGGTGGGGGGGGTGAGATATTATCTCTCTCGCCCGACCCTCTCCCGCACCGCCCCACACACCTCGGCAAACTTCTTGCGCAGCGACGCCACCGGCGCATAAGGTAAGGTAAGGTAAACGTCTCCACACACACAAAGTGGTGGGGCAAGGGGGGGCGACCCTCGCATCTCCACGCCCGGGACACGGGCAGGAGCCCCACGGCATTCAAAGTGCAAGCACCGGCCCGGTGCCGTGGGTGAGCAACCTGCACCCCACTCCTACTCCTATAACACAACCCCCACAGCGTGGTCGTACTCGTGCGTCGTGGCACACCGCGCAACCAGCTGCGCCTTGAAGCGTAGCCACCGATCGGTCTCGCCGCCCCCGCCGCGCTCACCACCCTCGCCGCCCCCGCCGCCGCCGCCGCCCCCACCGCCGCCCTCGCCGCCCTCGCCGCCCTCGCTGCCGCCGCCGCCGGTCGCCGCGCCGCCGGGGCGCCGCCGCCGGTCGCCGCCAGCATCTTGCGCAGGCAATGCGACGGGTTGGCCTGCTCTCGCTCGCTCAGGTGGTAGGAGATAGGCGGCATGCACCGCCTCGACGGCGTCGCTAGCAGGAGCCTGTTCGTGTGTGTGTGTGTTGCGCACCTGCCTGCTTGCGTTCCGTCCATGCGTCCGTGTATGTTGTATGTTTATGTGCGTGTGAGTGCTCTGTATGTGGCGTGGTTGGTGTTCCTGTGTGTGAAGTCCTTCTTAGTGAGATTTATGTGTGTGTCGCTTTTTTCATCATGTATGTGTGACCAGTGTGATCTCATAGCTGTGCGCGTTGTGTGTTTTGGGAGCCTCTTGTGCGTATATCG